TTGGAGTTTTGGTTCATTTTTTAGATGCTTAGATTTACTTTGCACAGTTCCTTTTAAAATAGTCATGAAAATGCGTAGTAATAAAGAAATACTTTATTACAGTGATAGTTTCAAGCAGTGAAAATCCTCAAGCCTGAACAGATTTGTGTACAATTCCTGCTGCTGAGAATGCACTCTGGTTCATTTTTGGACACTCTCTCACTGCAACTGATCTCTGTGAAGTGGTCAGTGCTGACAACTGAAAGAGATGTTCAGATGATAGGTATACCCTGAAAAGATGAAACAACCTGCTTATGTTCACCTTTTAGACATGCACACAAACCCCAGCAGCTCCTGGGGGTTTCCATAGCTAAGTGGGTGAAACCCCTGCACATCGGAGATAAAATCAGCACTTGAAAGGTAGTGTAATACAAGAGACTCTGGTAACTGCATTTAAGTACAAAGAGTGGAAGGCTTTAGTTACTTGGATCCTGATTCTGCATTCAGATCCACACTTGCAGGTGTTAAAAGCTGCTATTAGTGCATCCATGTTGCTTAGTTACAGTTACAAAGTCAGGCAATGTAAAAGCCCCATTAATTCTGCCACACTGCATGTCTACAGGAAAATGAACACACTTAAACATGTGGACACTTACAGCATGAATACATTCAGTTTATACATCACTGGGTTTGTGATGTTTCCTATTAGGCTAGAATACATTTCGTGTACTACAGTCAATGGCAAGATTTTAATGGATTCCCACTGTTGTATATTTCTTGTTTTGTGTATCCTTAAATATATAGCTGTGTGATTAAAAAATTCTGTGCCTTACATATAGTGAAATAGTAGTTTCTATCAATTACGTGAGCAAATTAGTCCAACAGGTGGAACCTTTTCTCTGTATTTTCTAGCCTGTGATTTGAACTGTGCAATTAAACTGAACTCGCATCAAGTTTTGCATTTAATACATTATTACATGTAAATATTTAACTTTCTAAGTTAATTTCTATAACTGATTACTCCAGCTTTTGTGTTTTTTTTAAAGAAATACTTTAACAAACCTGTGCACTCTTAGAATGCTTCTGTAACTGCTGGCTTTGCCCTAAATGAAGAAAGCTAAAAAAAGAGAGAGGAGGAGAAAATAGATGGACAAGAAGAAAGGCAGGGAAGACAGACAGATAAGACAAGAAAAGAGAATGAGACATGGAAAAAAGAAAACAGGGGTTGAAAGATCACTAGTGGTAAATCTGTTTTACTCACTTTAGTATTGTACTTAACACTTAATGCAGGATTATTTCGTATGTCAAAACATGGGCTGACAACTTCACTGCTAATTTTTACCTTTTGTTTTGTGTATTGTCATTTTTCTGTTTGTATTTATAGTGTATGTATATAAACGTAGATAGAGGTTACTTGCATTGTTCTTAGCCAGATTATTGTACTGGAAACAATAGTTTTACATAGCAAAGGAGAAAAAAACTGCTTATTTAGTATCTTTCTTTTGGATAACCTATTACTGTGTCAAAAACACTTTATCATTGACCATGTTTCCAAGGATAATAAACCCTTAGATAGTTATTTGTTAGTATATTAATTGTATGGAGTCTTTTCTAGAGTTTTTTTAAACTACATAATTAGATCTCTGTAGCAGGTATGTAATGGCTCCAAGTTAGACCTTTTGAGGGTTTTGTTTATAAACCTGATCCACAGTAATTCTCACTTGCAAATCACTGTCCTTAAAATGGGGTTATCATCAACTTCACAGAGGTATGAAGTCTCGTTCATTGTTTGCAAAGTGATTTGAGATTCTGGACAGAAAACAACGCAGTTATTTTTGTCTGTTGTTATACTTCAACAGTAATAAGTATAATTATTATCTATATATAAAAGATACAAAGTTAGACTTTGATGTATTCTTCTCTGCCAGTTATCACTTATAATTATGAAATTATTTTTAAATGAGACTTTTATATGTGTACTCCTTCTATGTGTATTTATGTATATTGATTCTCAGAGACGAGCAGTTTTTGTTGTCTAGAGCAGCATTTTCTCAACCCGTGGGTCACAACCCAAAAGTGGGTTGCAAGAATATTTCAAAGGGTCATGAGCAGGCGAAGCTGCATGGCTGGGCTGGTGACACCAGGATTGGTGCCCATGCTCACGGGGGCAGGATGGCTGGGAGACACCACTCCGGGAGGCAGGAAAGGCTGTGACCAGGCTGCCTGGTGCAACTCAGGAGCCCCAGCCTAAGGCATGTGAGCCACAGGCTTCCCCTTCTCCTTCCTCCAGCCTGTGCCAGGCTGGACTTGCTCTGCTGCTACCCACATGAGCCA